TCTCTTCAGACGGTAGGTATCTAAAGAGCCACAGCTGGAGTTGTCCTCTGGCCTTCATATACGTATACCATGTGAAACTACACACACACACACACACACACACACACACACACACACACACACACACACACACAGCAGAGAGAGACAGAGAGACAGAGAGACAGAGACAGAGAGACAGAGACAGAGACAGACAGAGGGAGGATGAACGGAGACCCTCTTAAGGCAGTTGAACTAAGGCCTTCCAATGATTCAGAAGATACACTAGAAAAGATAATTGCCTCAACAATATGTAATGTGTAGTCTTCCCGGCAGTCTGGTTCCAGAGCCGCGTCAGTCCCAAATGAACACAAAGGAGGCTATATTAATTATGAAGCTGTTGGTCATTTGCTATTGTTTCTTATTGTCTAGCTCTGACTTAATTATTGACCCATAGTTACTAATATATACTTTTATAAGGTCTTATCTTACCGAGAATGCAGACTTGAGTCCCCTTTTTCCCAGGAATCACATGGTGACAACTCCCTTCACTACATTTCCCAGAATCCTCCTAGACTCCTAGTCCCACCTATATTGCTTCCCTATTGGCCAACAGTGCTTTAGTCAGCAACCAATAAGATAAACGTATACACAGAAGAAATTCCCCATCAGGTATATGCATGCGTATGGGTGGGTATGTGCATGTGTGGGTGGGTATGTGCATGTGTGTGGGGGAGGATATGTGCATGTATGGGGGTGGGGGTGTACATGTGTGTGTGGGAGGTATGTACATATGTGTGGGTGTGGGAATGTTCATGTGTGTGTGTGCATGTGTATGGGGGGAGGCATACACATATGTGTGGGGGTGGGTATGTGCATACCAATGTAGGTGTCTGTGGCAGTCAGAAGAGGCATCAGATGCCCTGTGGCTGGAACTAGAGGCGGTTCTGTGTTGACTAATGTGGTACTGTGAACTTGGTCTTTAGGAACAGTAAGTACACAACCACTAAATCATCTCTCCAGCCCCTATTTCCTATTTTAATTTAGGTTTTGATTCTATATGGGAAAAAGTTTCACCTCAGCCAGAAATGTTTGAGGCAGAGTGACCAATGACCAATGATTGATCCACAGAGTTGATCTATATCATAGAAAAATCAAGATCCCTCCCTCCCTCCTTCCCTCTCTTCCTTCCTTTTTTTCTCTTTTTTAAAGACAAGGTTTCATGTATCCCTGGATGACCTCCAACTGATAAAGTAGTCAAGGATGACCCCGAACTCCTGATCCTCCTGCCTCTACCTCCCAAGTGCTGGGCTTACAGGAATGCACTGCCATTCCAGGTTTTATGCTATGCTGTAAATCAAACCCAGAGAGCGCTACATGCATACTAGGCAAGCACTCTTCCCAGCTGAGTCAGCTGAGTCATATCCTGGCTCCAGGATATAGATTTTTGGCATTCATATAGCTGACCATAGGATCACATTGGGAAACACCAATTACACAACCCATGTATCCTGTTGACATATTCTGTTACATGTAATAAATAAATATTTTATATTACCATGATTTTACTTGTCCGTGGCTTTGTGTATTACTTAATCAAATTTTTTTTCATTTTGTCATTTCAATATATTACATTATATTCAAGCGTTTGGTGTTAATTCTTTTTTTCTAATGTAGTGGAAGAACTCATTGTTGAAAGCAATTCTGGGGCCTCTCTTTTTGGTTGGCCTCGCTCCCTGGCCAGCTCGTGACTGGGAAGAGGTTCAACCTTAGAAATGTCTTTATTAGAGGAAAGACTGGTGGAGGAGGTGTCTGGCCCCAGAAGCCTGCGGTGTGCTGGTGGGCATACCTATCATCTTCCTTCCACTGCCCATCTCCTATCAGAATTCCTCTGTCCCTTATCAGGAGGACCTCTGTCCTCCAACCCTTGCATTCCCTGTACAGAATAGCTCTCGGAAAGTGTTCGTCTAGAGAAGTCAAGCTCAACTGGAGCCATAATGAAGCTTGGGAAGAGCCATGAGCATGAGCGTTGGAGGCTAGAGATCGGCCTCTCACACATGCTGTTTCTAGCTTGCAATAGACACCCATTAAACACTATTGCCTTTCACACAGCTGATCCTGTTCCCTCCAACTACGCTCTTCTCCCTTGGACTTTGTGAAGTCCTTGGCAACGATCTGTCTTAATAATTCTTTCTCTGTTACCAGACTCTGGGGAAAGGAGGGCTTTAGGCTCGGGCTGGAGCCTGCCCTATACGGTGATCAGTCTTAGTTTATCTTATATATTCTTTATGCCTTTAAGTGGCCCATGTGCTTGTGATTTTTGAATACGTAACTTGAACCCAGAGTCACGGGACTCTGAGCTGCTCTTTGACATTTCGTGCTGTATAGGTTTCTCAAAGTGATATCAAAATCTACCTCTTAATCCGTGTTCTTCCATCGTCTAAAGCTGGCCTCACAGTATCCATTCCCATTCCACCAGCCTTGATTATCCCTTCCCCCCACTAGTCAGGTCCAAGACATTGACAAGATGTCAGTATGCCATTATTCCCTCCTAAACAACTCTAGCTTCAGCACTTCTCTCCATGACCCCCGCAACCATCACTCACCAACCCACCATACCCTCTGGCCTAGTCTTCTGCAATGGATTTCTTCAGTCTCTACGCTTGCAGTCTCGTCTCTCCTCCATATGGTACTCCAAGAGGGGCAGGCATCCCTCAAGTTCCAGGCAGCTACTAAAAAGTCGGTCTGCTTTATATTATTTTGCGGGCTGTGAGCAACCAGCTGCTATTCAATTTCAATTTGATTATCAAATGCTCTTAAGAGCCTGTTGAGACGCATCCCAGCTAAGCTAAAGTAGGCAATGGAATTCCTGAACACTTTGCATGGGAAGCCTAGAGGCAAGCCTGTATCACCACTCCCAGTACTGGAAGCTGAGGCTCACTGTTGACTTTCCTGGGGAGGAGGGGTCAGTTTCCATGGTGCAAACAAACTAACACTCCGGTCAGCTAAGGTGGCCTGCAGCACAGAGCTCCTAGGAAAGAGAGTAAGTATTTTAATCTTTGTACTTTTTTTATTAGATAAATCATACTTAACTCAAGTGTATACTGCTGACTGCTTTTTAAACCAAGGCACATCTACCTGAAGGATTGGATTTCATATACACTTGATCATATTCATAGATTCATGCAAAGGAAGTTTGCTAAATTTCAGTAGTTATAGATGAGTTAGTGAACCCAGGTCAATTCCTATCTCAAAATACTGGGTATGTTTAGAGCCTCCGATTGAGTGGGTTTTCGAATTTTAGAGTTAGGAAACCATTGCCACCAGTCTGATTTTCAAGGAGTTCACCACCCCCAAATGAAACCCTGTACTCTCCCAGTACTAATTGCTCACACCTACCCCCAACTGGTCCTAGGCAACTGTTGGTCTACATTTGACTCCATTGTTTTGCCTATACCGTGGGTGTCATGCACATGGAAGCATGTAACACGAGGTGGCCTTCTCTGACTTCTTTCGCTTAGCATGTTTCATGATTCATCTATAAAACATCTATCACTCTCCATTCATTTCGTGTGTGTGTGAATATGTGTGTGGCAGACAGAGGTCAACCTTGTGTCCTGTTCCCCAGGAGCCACGCTCCTTGCTTTTTGAGACAGGGTGCCATTGGCCTGTAGCTCACCAAGTAGGTTAGCCTGGTTGGCAAGTGAGCCACAGAGATCTGCCTGTCTCCCTGTCTCCAGGTAGAATTAGAAGTGTGCTTGCACAGGGATGGAGGGTGGACATGGAGGGACTAGGAACTGGGTGGGATTGGCATGCATGGTGTGAAGTCCCAAAGAATCAGTTTTAAAAAAGAATCGAAGTGTGTTCCCCTGCCACATCTAATGGGGATTGAGCTGGGATTCTCACACCTACATGGCAAATACTTTACATGGCAAATACTTTACCAACTGAGCTATCTTTCTGTCCTACTTCATTCTTTCCTATTGTCAAATACTATTCTACGACCTGGGTATTATATTTTTGTTTTGTTATCTGTTGGTTATTATCTAGGATGTTCTCACTTTTTGCCCATTATGACTCTTCATGAACATCCACGTCCACATTTTTATAGCTATATTTTCCCTTCTTTTTGATAGATACTCCATTTAAAGACTCACTGTGAAGTTGTAACAGTCGAGATTGCAGGAATACCAGCACAAAAGAGAACAGGATAGCAAGTCTGGAATATATATAACCATATGCTCAAGTTCATTGCTTTTCACAGTTGTTTATATGTGGGTATATATAACGTACAGATAGATAAAATATGTTCACAATGGACCACAGATACAAATGAAAGATTGAAAAATGTTAAAACAGGATAAGGAGAATTGCCTATGGCCATCTAGCAGTCTCAGCACCATTTGCTAAAAGCCTCCTCGTTCCCCACTAAACTGCCTGCCCTGTGTGCTGAAGTCAGGAAGTCAGGGTCCTCTCACCCTAGCCCTTTTGAGATTGTTCTGCCTATTCTGATATTGTTGGGTTTTTTAATGCTTTTTTGTGTTTCTCCTTTTTCTTTTTGCATTTCTATATTATTTTTCTGGCGGCAGGGGATCTGCTTTTCAATGGTCTGGAAAGGAAATATTGCTGCTCATGCAAACTTCTCCTGTCTTTGACCTCCTCCACAGGATGTTGTGCAAGCTCTTTGGTGTGGATCTCAGATGTGGAACAGATGGGGGTCGTTGAAGCTTAGAGACTTGTACAGAAGTCAAGCAAAAAGACTTTCACACACTGACTGTAAAAGATGTTTTTCTGCTTAGTAATACCTGAAGATGAGATATATGAATGTTCATTTATTGCTGATCAGAAACTCTAGAGTAAAGGTTTTCTGTTAAATCAAACATTTACTTTTAAATCTTAGTTTATTTTGTATGTGTGCATGTTTGTGTATTTGCACACATATGTGTGGAAGCATAGGTCAACTCTGGACATCTTCATTTGTTCTATACATAATTGTTTTTGATTTTTTGAGACAGGGTTTCTCTGCATTGCTTTGGAGCCTGTACTCTGTAGATCAGTCTGGCCTCAGACTCACAGAGGTCCGCCTGCCTCTGCCTCCCGAGTGCTGGGATTAAAGATGGGCACCACCGACACCCGACCCTCTACATAATTCTTTTGAGACAGTGTCTCTCACTGAACTTCTAGTCATCTATTCTGCTAAATTGGTTGGCCAGTGGTCTCCAGAGACCTGCCTGACTCCAGCCCCCCAGCTTGAGATCACAGTCACCAGTTGCATTAGGCTTCCTTTTACATGGGTTCTGGGGACCTGAACTCGGGTCCTCATGTTTGTACAGAAAGCCTTTCAGCCACAGAGCCACTTGCCCTGGTAAGTCAAATTTAAAGTGAGATGTATAGGTTTGGGGGATGACTCAGCAGGTGCAGGTTAAATGCTTGACACCTATGTAAACGCTAGGTGTCACTCTATTGTAATCCCAGTTCTCAGGAGGCAAAAACAGGAGCCCCCAGGGAAAGCTGGCTAGCCAGACTAGCTAAATCAGTGAGCTACGGTTTCAAGTGAAACACGTTTCCTGGATATGTATAAGGTGGAAGAAGACGCTCAACCTCTGGTCTCCACATGTGCTCTCATACACATGCATGCACACCCCCACCACATAATGCATCTACACACATGCAAGCATGTGTCCCCACACATGCCAAAAAAGGTGAAATGCCAAAAAAAAGGTGACATGCTGTGTATGTCTTCTTCTCTGTTATTCAGCAAAGCAGATGCAGAATACCTGCTTCTTGCCACACAGTTAACCCTTGTAACATTTAGTCTTCCTGCCCGCTGTCTGGTTCCTGTTTCTGCTTTCTGCCCCCAAATAACACACAAGACACTATATTAATTATGAAGCTGTTGGCTGTTTGCTTGGTTTCTTATCTGCTAGCTCTGACTTGATTATTAACCCATAATTACTAATATATATATTTTTATAAGGACTTATCTTTCTGAGAACGCCAGACTTGCGTTCTCTTCTCCAGGGATCACATGGTGACCAGTCTCTTCACTACATTTCCCAGAATCCTCCTAGACTCCTAGCCCCACCTATTCTGCTTCCCTATTGGCCAACAGTGCTTTATTGACAGATACACAGGACATCCCCCATCAAGCCCTTGTCTTGTATAATCAGAGACTCTGCTGGCTTGGGTCAAGGTCAAGGGTCTTCGTTCCCAACACTCCACTGGTGATACTAAGTGACTAAGTGACTAAGCACCCCCTCTAATGGGAGCCACCATCCCCTTCTTGCTGTGTCAGGCAGGTCTCCAACCTTGCTCCCTGCCCTCTGCTCCCTGCTTTCCATCCAGAGAGAAGCTGCTGTAGTCAGGTGAGTGGTTAAGCCTACTGTGGGGGCTCATCACACATGCAGACTTCCAGGCATTTTCTACTGCCGTATGAGTCAGAAACACCAGCAGTTTTCCTAAGTGGTCTATGCAGACAGAAGTTGGCCATTTGTGATCTTTAGGCCAAATCCCATTAATGTTTGAAGACTTACAGTCACCTAAGACATCGGGCTTCGTAGGCTGGCTCTAGGAGACTCTGATGTGAGCCTTCACATCTTGACCCCAGTTGACCTTTTCACCCCAGTCACCTGCTTGCCTAGTCCTCAGGTTTCCCCCATCAGGTCCTGCTGCTCGCAGAGGTGAAAAATCCTAAATGTTTCTGAGGGGCACAGTAAAGAAACCAATGATTGGCTACTCTGTGATTAGGGAGAAGGTTTTTTATTGGGGGATAAGAGAGAGAGAGAACAGCTAGAAGCATCTGGAAGAGAGAGTCCCGAGCTGAGAGAAAGAAGCAGACTGGGCGTGGCCAGGGCTTGGGAAGCAGGCATGGCAGAGAATAGAAAGAGTGGGGTGAAAAACCCTGCTGTTCTGAAGAGAGCACTGTGTGTGTGTGTGTGAGCACGGTGTGTGTGTGAGCACGGTGTGTGTGTGAGTGCACTGTGTGTGTGTGTGTGCACTCTGTGTGTGTGTGTGTGTGAGCACAATGTGTGTGTGAGCACGCTGTGTGTATGAGCACAGTGTGTGTGTGAGCACAGTGTGTGTGTGAGCACAGTGTGTGTGTGAGCACAGTGTGTGTGTGAGCACGGTGTGTGTGTGTGAGCACGGTGTGTGTGTGAGCACAGTGTGTGTGTGAGCACAGTGTGTGTGTGAGCACAGTGTGTGTGTGAGCACAATGTGTGTGTGAGCACGCTGTGTGTATGAGCACAGTGTGTGTGTGAGCACAGTGTGTGTGTGAGCACAGTGTGTGTGTGAGCACAGTGTGTGTGTGAGCACGGTGTGTGTGTGTGAGCATGGTGTGTGTGTGTGTGTGAGCACGGTGTGTGTGTGTGTGTGCGCACGCCTGTCTGTGTCAGGAACAGTCTTGGGAGAGAGGTGAGAAAGGCAAGGAGTCTAGCTGGGCTGTGAGCTGTGTGACAAGTACATGTCACATTCAGGCTGAAGGACCCTAAAGGCCACCATGAGCTTTTACACACAACCACACATATATGTCAATGGAGAGCCAGAGGCAAGGGAAATGACTGTTTTGGCAGACTGGAACCAGTTTCACACGTTCCTGAGGAATACTGGCTTTTATCTAACCACCAGAAATTCTGTAGTAAAGGGTAGGCTGAGTCTGGACTCAATTTTGGACCAAGTCAGTGGACTGGCCCTTTGAGGGGGAAATGGGGTACCCTTTGTACCTGATACTAAGCTCTGGCACAGCCTTAAAGGTCTTAGATGAGTTTAAGAGGGACACCAAGTTTGATTGATGAAGTGTGGTTTTATTAGAAGAGGATTATTATTGCCATGGATGACAGACAGGTAGTAAAAGCGGCAGGAATCTGAGATTGGGTCCCAACAAGTGACAGGCAGCATGACAGGGTCTCTGGAGAGAGTCAGAGCCCATGTGGCACAAGTAGGGCCTTTTCTTAATACTGTTCTTAGGATGGAGGACGTTTCACAGCACAAACCAGTAGGCTCTCTCATTCATAGGCAGGAGGCGGAGAAGGGCTGAGGAGCAGGATGTGTGTCCACCATTGATGTAAACTCACGGCCTGGGGTGAAAGATCCAGACGTCTGAAAATCTGTTAGCTAGGGACTCACAGACATCGTCTCAGTTGGGAGCTTGGAGGTATCTGCCAAGGATGCTTCTACAAATTATTGTGGCCTGGATTTTGACATCACACCCTTACATAACCCGTCAGTGGTCCAAGTGCTGGTAGCTCAACACTGGTCAGCTGTTAAACTGAAATTGCCAACCCCTGGGAAGAATGTGGTCTCTGGAGGACCTTGTAGCTCTGGGGCCGAAAGGAGCCTAACCATCTCAGTGACCAGCTGCTTCCTCCTCACGCCTGAGTGCTGGATCAAGTAGAATACACATCCACCACAGGCACATTGAGAAAAGGGTAGAATGGGAATCCTCCCACTGGCTATACAAGCAGCTTTTAAGTTCCTATGAACTAGCCTCCCTTTGGTCCCTCTGTGTAAAAGTGATTTGCTGTCTTATCCTTTGTGGAAAAAAGTTGTTTAGCCCTGGTCTACACATTGACATTGGCAGCTCTTACCCTTTTAGAAGCAGGATCCTCCACTGCTACCAAAATAACCCTCATTCATGTCTTCTGGATCCAACCTTAGGGCTCTGACAGGACAGCTCAGTTTACTTCCCAGTGGTAGTGACTGGCTCATTTTAATTGTGTTTACTTTTCTGGGGTTGTTCTTACATTTCACTAAGCATCAGATACCACACCAGGATCCTCGGTCCCTTTCCCAGAGTTGCAGGTTCAGTAGGTAGATATTGAGCCCAATAATTTGCATTTCTAATGAACCTCTGGAGCTGCCGGTAACGACAGTTCGGAAGGTAGACGGCTCTCTCTCCAGTTCTCAGCAATCGGGAGATCTAGGGCATTGCATCCCCACTGGGCGTAAGTTCAAGCAACTGTCTCCTGTCTCTACTCCACATGAGCTCTGGATAGAGTAGGAAGTCCCCCTGGAAGCTGGGTGGAGGGCGCACTGCAAAGTGCCAGTCTGTTACTTCAGAGATAATTCTGGGTATAGTGGGGTCCATTCGTAGTTTGGGGGTTGCAGAATGGTGGGTGCTATCCACAGTTGCTGAGAGTTAGGCACCCGCACAACAGAACACACACACACACACACACACACACACACACACACACAAGTTTAGATGCAAATCTACAAGACAGAAAGCAAGTCACTGATGCAGAAACCAAGCAGGCCCTTGCTAGGGGAGAAGGGATGCACGGACTCTCCTAAATGGCCTATATCTCAGGCAGGTTCTGTCATGGAACTGTCAAAAATGGCTGACATGACAAAGCTTCACCAGGCCGTGGCGGCGGGGGACTGCAATTCAGTGAAGAAGATTTTGAAGAAAGGTCTCTGCGACCCAAACTACAAGGATGTAGACTGGAATGACAGGACACCACTTCACTGGGCTGCCATCAGAGGTCAGTAGACAAAGCCGCTATGGCCCTTTCCTCCTAGTCTACCTTCATGAGGCTATCAGTCTGTGTCAGACTGGAAGGGACAGTTCTTTATTTCTAGATGGAAAATTTCAGCCCTCCCATTTACCCTTACCAGCAATAGCACCTGGACCGTATTATTTAATGTTTTGGACACTCATTCTTCTATATAATAGGGGCAGTATGCTGCAGAGGCAAAGGGATCTCTGAGTTCAAGGCCAGCCTGGTCTATAGAGTGAGTTACATGAGATCCAGGGCTACACAGAAAAATCCTGTCTCAAACAAACAAACTAAACCAATACAACAGCAAAATGCCCCCAAACCAAGAAAACAAATAAAACACCCTGAAAGAAAAAAAAAACATAAAACCATAGCCAAATAAAAGCACAAACTGTGGAGTCCCTTATATGCTGGTCAACTACTCCTGAACAGAGGCCTGTCCTAGAGTGGTTGATATACCCTTTGTGGCGCTTTTGGAGGAAGGAGATTTTTCTCTGTCCCAGCAGGTGTAAGTGACAGTTGTTAACTTACCATAAGTCTCAGTGTCTTGATCACCAAGCAGTAACAGGTAAGTGTTCCATCTCATGGAGTGAACTTTAAGCCAAATCAGATGTTGTTTGCTTACTCCCAGAAGCTTTGTGTTACTGTTGCCTTAGCATATCTTTCAGATAAGACACCATTGTAGATAAAGGGTTTGTGGTGGGCTTGGTGTTCACATTTCTCTATTGAGATCACAAAGAGTACCTAAGACACTAGAACATCAGGGTGAAAGCTCTGTGTAGGCATTGGCTCAACAATTCCATATTCAATGAGTTTTTCTAGGTGTTGTTTTCAGCAAAGGGGCTTTGCTGGCAGTTTGTGCAACCTATAGTCTCGGTAACAACTTGGATTGTTTGGGGAATTCCTTGTGGGGCCCCTTTGAGCAACAACTCAATTAGGTTAACCTAATACGGGTACTGGAAGCTTTGTTTGGTGACAAGAGATGGTCAATTCAAACTTTGGGACCCCCCTCCATTATTTGACAATTTCATTTAGATCGCCTTCATAGATGTATATATTTTAGGAAGTTTCTACTGTATTAGGTTCTATATGTGATAGCTTGAATGAAATGATCCTATGGGCTCATAGGACATGTCAGTTTTCTGGAACAGGTGTAGCTTTGTTGGAGGAAGTGGGTTACCGAGGGTGGGCTTTGAGGTCTCAGACACTCCAGCCAGGCCTAATGACCGGATCATTTCCTGCTGTGTGTGGATCTCAATGCAGAACTCTCAGCTCCTTGTCCAGCACCATGTCTGCTTGCACGAGGCCACACTTCCCATTATGATGATAATGGACTAAACCTCTGAACTGTAAGCCAGACCTAATTAGATGTTTTCTTCTATAAGAGCTGCTGTGGTCATGGTGTCCCTTCACAGCAATGAAATCCAAACTAAACACTGATGCCATACTACCCCTTAAATTCCTCTTAATTTTAGCTGTCTCTCCCTGTATTCCTCCCACAATCCCCTTTCTTCTTCCCCTCTCCCCATTCTAGTCTCCCATATCCATCCGTAACTATATTCTATTTCCCTTTCCTAATGAGATATATCTACCCCCTCAGGTACCTTACTCTATAGCTAACCTCTGTGGTTCTATGGATTGTAGCTCAGTGATCACTAACTTCACAACTGATATTCACATATAAGTGAATACATACCACATTCATCTTTGTGAGTCTGGGACATCTCATTCAGGATGATTTTTTTTCCTAGTTCTACCCGTTTGCCTGAAAGTTTCAATCAAGATGTCATATTTTAACAACTGAGTAATATTCCATTGTGTAAATGCACCCCATTCCCTTTATCCATTCTCCTGCCAAGGGACATCTAAGTTGCTTCCAATTTTTGGCTATTTGTGAATGGAATAGAACATTCAAGACCTATTTGGGGGTACAGAATAAGTTCAAAGCCAGTTTTAGCAACTTAACTAGACCCTCTCTCAAAATGAAAATTAAGGAGAGTTCTAAAGACTATAACTCAGTGGTAGAGACCTTGCAGAGAACGTGTGGGACCCTAGCTCCAACCCCAATTTCTACAAAATAAATAATTAAAATAAATCAAGGATCTGTTGCAGCTGTAGAAGCAGTGAGGCTACCAGTGTGTAGTTGGGAAGGACTCGGAGTAAGACCTGGGACAGTAGACAGAAAGGAGGACTATTCTAGAAAGAATGCAGGAAGTTCTTAGTGGTCTCAGGTCTCCATGGAAGGAGGACGGCGAACTGCCTCCCAGAAAGAGGAATGAGAAGGGAGGGGATTGATGATAACAAGGCAGAGGTACCCCAAAGGTCAGACTTCTGCTGCATCTGTACTGTAGAGCCTGCTCCAGGTCTCAGGGCACTGAGGACATTTGTAGTAGGTTTTCCTTTGTGCTACCAACCAGCTCCCAAATCATAATGTGGAGAGCTCTTATTAGTTACAAAAGCTCAGACTTATGCTTTTTCCCACTTGTTCTTATTACTTAATTCAACCTGCTTCTCTTCATCTATGTTTTGCCTCGGGGCTTTTATCTTTCTTTCATTCTGATTGTTCTGGTCCTTGTCTGTCTGCCTGTCCTAGCTATTGGCTATTAAACTTTTTGTTATTAGACCAATCAGGTGCCTTAGGCAGGCAAGGTAAAACAGCAACACATCTTTACGTGATTAAACAAATTCAGCATCAACAAAAGCAACATACTTTTACATAGTTAAATACTCCACAACAGACACTTTTATCTTAACTTCATATTCTTTCTCCATGGTGTATCTAAGGGCAAATGGAGGTGATACATCTCCTGATACAATGTGGAGCCAGACCCTGCTTGGTGACCGATGTGGGCTGGACTGCAGCTCACTTTGCTGCTGAGTCAGGCCATCTGAATGTACTCAAAACTCTCCACGCACTGCACGCTGCCATTGATGCTGCTGACTTCTTTGGAGATACACCTAAGAGGATTGCACAGATCTACGGGCAGAAAGCCTGTGTGGACTTCCTGGAGAAGTGAGTACCGTGTTTTCCCAGCTGTAGAAAGAAGCCTGTAATCAGAGTTTTTGTCAGTTGACCACAATCTCAGGTAAATGAAAATGTAACAAAGAGATCTGATCCAGTGTGTCTCACCCTTCCCAATGCTTCGACCCTTTAACACAGTTCCTCGTGTTGTGGTGACCTCAACCATAAAATTAAATAATTACAGTTATTGCTGCTTCATAACTGTAATTTTGCTGCTGCTATGAACTATAATGTAAATATCTGATATGTGACCCCAAAGGAGCCATCATCTACAGGTTGAGAATCACTGAACCAATAGACTGTTATAATTTTTGACGATTATTTACTTTTATTTTATGTTTATGAGTGCTTTACCTGTATGTATGTACATGTACTATATGAGGCTAAAAGAGGGAGGCCAGAGCTCCTGGAACTGGAGCTACCAACTGCTGTAAGCAGCCATGTGGGCTAGGAACAGAACCTGATTCCTCTACTAAAAAAAAAAAAAAAAGGAAGGAAGGAAGGAAGGAAGAAAGGAAGGAAGAAAAAAGCTATTGCTTTTAACAGAATGAGTCTTCTTTCTAGTCCCTATATTAGGTTTTAAAATAGATTTTAAGATTTTTTTATTAGAATGACAACTTGAGGGTGAAAAGTACATTGATCTATTACTTTAGATTCTACAAAAGTATCTCTAATAAGAGCTGGATGCTGTTTGGGGATGGGACACGGCCTAAGTTTCATGGTCACCCTAAGTTTCTGAAAGGTACCCGAGCTAGCTGTGTGACTCTGTATGAGTTAAACCAGCCACCCGACCCTCGGTTTCCTCATACTTACAGTGCAGCGGGGGTCTCGGAGATGAATCAATCAGTGAGGTACTTGCCACACACACAAGAGGACCTCAGAAGCCACATAAAACTAGTCAAGGTAGCCACGTTGGTAGCTCCAGTGTGAGGTTCAGATACTGAAGGATCCCAGATGGATAACCAGTCAGGTCAGAACTGCAAGGTGTGAGTCCAGTGAGAAATCCTATCTCAAAACTCAAGGAGACACTGCATTGTTTCCTGGACTCCACACATATATGCACACATGTGTACATAAACTAAACACACACACACACACTGCGAGGTAACTGAATTAGACTGCTGGGTTTTGTTTTGCTTTGTTTTTAGTTTCTCTGGGTAGCTTTGTAGACCAGGCTAGCCTCGAACTCACAGAGATCTACCTGCCTCTGCCTCCAGAGTGCTTGGATAGGTGTGTGCCACCACCACCCAGCTTAGACTTCTGTGTTTATAATTAATTTTATTTAAATTAAAAACAATATTATTTTACATGCCAATCCTAGTTCCCTCTCCCTCCCATCCTTCCATTCCCCCATCCCACCATCCCAACCCCCATCCACTCCTCAGGGAGTGTGAGGCCTCCCATGGGGGATCCTCAAAGTCTGTGACATCATTTGGGGTAGGACCTAGGGCCCCCTCATGTATCTAGACTGAGAGAGCATCCGTCCATAGAGAATGGGCTCCCAAAGCCCATTCGTGCACTAGGGATAAATACTGGTTCTACTGCCAGAGGCCCCATAGACTGTCCAAGCACTCCAACTGACATTCACATTCAGGTGGCTTGGTTTGGTCTTATGCTGGTTCCCTAGATGTCAGACTAGGGTTGGTGAGCTCCCACTTGTTCAGGTCAGCTGTTTCTGTGGGTTTCCCCAGCATAGTCTTGAACCCTTTGCTCATCACTCCTCCCTCTCTACAACTGGATCCCAGGAGTTTGGCTCAGTGCTTAGCTGTGAATCTCTGCTTCTGCTTCCATCTGTTTTTAAGACCTGTCTACATTCACATATGATTCCCCTAGCCAACCTAGGACTTGTCAAACATTCATTAATTTATTTTTCTAAGTTAAGCAGTTGGATATAATTAAGTGCTAATTCTGTTGTCAGTAGTTATTGCCTTGAGATGAATGGAAATGAGTATATGATGTAAATCTTAATTTGGGTTCACAAATGATTTTCAGGTGAAAAGGGTGAATAGTCTGATCTGAATGTGGCTGCTTGGAAAGGAAGATGAGAAAACAGAAAACCTAGAAATAATGCCGGTTTATAGTAGAGGACAGTGATGGTGGCCTGTCTATTCTGAGCTTCAGATACAGTTATTGTCAAAATGTTAAACCAGGGCAGGACAGTGGCTTAAGCCTACAATACCAGCTGCTCAAGTCGTTGAGCAGAGGAAAATTGTAAATACAAGTCCTGTCTGAGCTACAGAGTGAGTTCAAGATCAGTCTGGGCAAATTAGTGAGACTCTGTCTCAAACTGAAAAAGTAAAGTAAGAGCTGGGGGATGTGGCTTAGTAGTGGAGTGCTCCCTTAGCCCATGTGAGGCCCTGGGTTTGATCCCTGACACTGCCATCCCCCAAAAGTTAAACCAATAAAACTGTTGTCTGCGATTAGATTGGCAATCCACAGAAGTACCTCAAGAAGACCTTGCCTTAAAAATAGTGTCATCATTTAAAATATCACAAATGAGGAGATGGAGACAGGCAAGCTTGAAGTCCTGTTCACAAACTCTTCTCCCCAGTTCTGGGTGTCATCTAGGTGTCACACTCGGGACCTCTGTGTACCATGGCCCTGAGCACCAGCAGACACTCTCCATTGAGTTTTCTGCAGATTCTAATAGCATCCTATGTGACATGGCTCCCTTTATCTTACTGCTTCCCAGGTTCTCACACGGGTATCTGAATCTGAAACCTCTTGTCGTTCAAGGTTTTTCTTTCCCAACTATTGTTGGTTGTTTTTCACCTTTTTGGCTTTTTTGGAGCCCCGCTACTACCCAGCTCCCAAATAAATCACATATGGAATCCTATTCTTACTTATGAATGCCCAGCCTTAGCTTGGCTTGTTTCTTGCCAGCTTTTCTTAAATCATCCCTTCTATGTTTTGCCTCTGGGCTCTTATTTGTCTCTATTCCATATACCTTCTTTCCTTCTTACTCCGTGGCTGGCTGTGCAGCTGGGTGGCTGACTGCCAATGTCTTTCACTCCTTCCCCTTTCTTACTCCTTCTAGATCTCTCTTTTAACTCTTCTATTTATTCTCTCTGCCCGCCAGCCCCACCTATCCTTTCTCCTGCCTTGCTATTGGCCGGTCGGCGCTTTATTAGATCAATCAGGTGTTTTAGACAGGCAAAGTAACACAGTTTCACAGAGTTAAACAAATGCAACATAAAAGAATGCAACACATCTTTGCATCATTAAAACAAATGATTCACAGCATAAACAAATGTAACACATCTAAAAATAATATTCCACAACACCCAACCTATCACCCGTGTGCAGGAAGACTACTTTCCCTGCTATCTGGATACCATGGTAACCCATTCCTTCCTTGCCTCTATTCATAACTTTTAGACCCTTTGCTATCTGTACCTTATGACCTAGCATCACCAGTTGTGGATAAATCTCTTGTATAAATTCGGTTTCAACACCAGATCTACAAAGTGAGGACATGACTCCTCCAAGGGATGGTTTAAGAGAAGGATTTTATTGTAGGTAAGAGGGAGAGGACAGACAGAGGCATGCCAGTGCAAGGAGAGAACATGGCAGAGAAACATGGCCAGTCAGATGGACTGGGCCATGAGAGGAAAGCAAGAGAGGAAGAGAAGACAGAGAGACAGACAGACAGTAAAAAGGAGAGAGAGCCAAGAGCGAGCCAAGAATAGCATGGCTGAAATTGCAGGGTTATATAGGGACAAAAAGCTGGGCGAAAGGATGTCCTGAGCTGGAGAAGTTTAGGGTAGGAGGTGGGATGAGAAGAGCTGGGATGCTCCAGTATGCCAGCATGGACTTTGTAGCAGGTATTTGTAATGCCGAGAGAGCCTGGAGGCCAGCATGGGCGTTGGTATGCTAATAGGCACCGCAGTTAGCCATTTGTCCCAGTCTCTTTTGGACCTGACATTTCTATATTCTCTACTCCTGGACTTGACAGACTACAGAAAGGCCCAGAAATAAGTAGATGAATACTGGCAGGGGACTAGAGATGTCTACTTGTTAACTCTTCTGATCCTTGGTAAACCCTAGTACCTCCACACAAAAACTGTCTCTCAGAGGACACGCTATCTACCAGAAGTCATGAAGGAGCAGGCTTTTCAACACCCTCCCTGCACCCATACTTCCAGTTCTTACAAATCCCCACATCTGTTCACCCTTGCCTTCCCATCATTTCTGTGTCATGACGTTCCTCCATCTCCAACAGTGGCTCTCACCCTTCCTAATGCTGCATCCCTTTAATGCAGTTCCTTATGTTGTTGTGACCCCCCCAACCATAAAATTGTTTTCTTGCTGGGCAATGGTGGTGCATACCTTTAATCTTGCCCCTTGGGAGGCAGAGGCGAATTACAGGACAGCCAGGACTGTTACACAGAGAAACTTCATCTCAGAAAACAAACAAAAAAATTTCGTTATTACTTCATAACTGTAATTTTGCTACTGTTAAGAATTGAAATGTAAATATCTGTGTTTCCTGATGGTCTTAGACAACCCCTGTGAAGGGTTGTTTGACCCCTAAAGGGGTCACAACCCACAGGTTGAAAACCACTGATCTAGAATCTTCTTCATCTCTTCTACAGGAAAGCCCTGTGTTATTTCTTCGCTTAGTCTTCACTTTCTCCTGTATCGTTAGCTGTTTCTATTCACTGCCTCCTCACTTCTTTTTGGTCTGTGAACACGGTCAAGTAGACCATATTAAACAAATGAACAGAGTTAGAGGTCCCTCCCGCTGGTCTCTTCTACCCCAGCCTCCTAAACTGCATGGGAGTTAATTTACAGAACTGGTTCTCCTTGCTCACCTCTCATTCACCTTTTGCAAGTCTTCCCCATCTGAAATGTGCTGACAGAAATGTGCTGACACATTTCTCCTACAAATAATCACAGAGTTCCTGCTACTGACACGATGATCCCTTCTCCATTCACAGTTAATTTTTTATGTATTTCTCTTCTTCCTCCCTCTCTCCTCTTAGTTTCCTTTTCTCCTTCCCCCATGCTTTTCTCCCTTCCTTCCTTCCTTCCTTCCTTCCTTCCTTCCTTCCTTCCTTCCTTCCTTCCTTCCTTCCTTCCTTCCTTTTTTGATCAGGGCCTTGCTCTATAACCCAGCTAGGTCTCCCAAGAGCTAGGATTACAGCCAGGTGCCATCATGCCCCTTTCCTCAGTATGTACCCTAATGTGCCTTTCACATGGTAGAATTCCAGAGTCTTGTCCTTAGCTTTCTATGGATTATTTTTTTCTGAGCCATACTGGCCCCTCCTCAGTGACCGGATGTGTATGGCATTTGGCCCAGCATGACTAAAATGGAGTGGGCAGTACCAGGGAAATTGGGCAGGCAAGGCTGCGCAGATGAAAACAAATGTCAACTGCATCAAGTGTGAATCACGTGGACTTACCATTTCCCACCAGGAACTTACTCCCCTTCTGCTGTCCGAGGAGTCAGAGGAAATAACTCTGGATGAAGATCTGGCCGAGGGAGGAGAGGGAGAACCTGATGGTCTGGGTGTAGCTACCACGTTGGAAATGTGCATAAGTCAAGCGTGAATGAGAAGAGATGGAGGGAGTACAGAGGGATGAATGACCTATCTGACTGGGTGTTCACAGCCAGGAGACTTGCAGGCTAAAGTGGGTGGATGAGGAGCATAGTTGGGCAAGAAGCCAGTGCTGAACTCATCATGGGATTGATGAGCTGAAACAGGTGGGCTAGCAAAGTTGCTCACACAATAGACGATGTTGCAGTGGGCATCCTGTAGTGGGATTAGAGACTTGGTCACTCTGGACAAGACCACTGGCTTTCTTCACAGCTCACATTGTGAGGAGGTGTACTCCTAGGCTATTTTCGTTTAATTTACATGTACATACAATGTATGCAATTATCATATTCTTCTTGCACTTCCAATCAGCTTGATTGATTGGTTGATTGATTGATTGATTGATTGATTGAGATCAGGGTTTCACTCACTATACAGGAGAGGCTGGCCTTGAACCTGTAGCAATCCTCCTAACTCATTGTCCTGGGTGCTGGAACTGCACAGGTGCCAGGCTATACTGTAAATTTTTGAACAACGAGCACGGGTTGCTTTCATAGGCAGGAAAAATAGAATTTAAAGGAACAGCTTCCCAATAACATGAAGACTGCTCTGGAAGTATGAGCACTTTAACAATGAGCAGCCCCTCCTTCCAGCCATCTTTGAGTTGGAGATTAACCACATACATCCAGGCCATAGCAGCCTTCCCATCTTCAGGTAGTTCCTCTGAGATCTGAGACCTTCTGAACTTTAGAAGCACATTTTAGGATCTAAAGCGTGCACTTGGACATGTGTGAACTTGACCTCCTTCCTTCTCAGTTAGACAGTGAATGTCTGCGCTGGGTAGTGCCCAGGAAGCAAGGTCAGTCAGTGCCAATGCTGGCCAGGTTCCTTTCCCACACTGACAGGTGGTTCTCTTTGCAGGGCAGAACTGGAATGCCGGGACCACCGCCAGAGAGGGCTGTTGGTTGATGAACGGGACCCAGATTGGGACCTCAAGAAAAGGGAGCTAGAGCTGTCTCTTCCTGACCCGGATCGAAACACCAACAAAAAGACTAAGAGAATCCAAGGCTCCACAAAGCTCAGCCATTCCAAGGCCTGGAGGGTATGAGAAGGCGGAGCCCACTGATCAAGTGCACCCAGGACCTAGCTGGAAGCCAGAGGGGTTGTTGGGTGCCCTTGTCTTCACAGGATTTGACTCAACCACCTTTACCCAGGCTTCTTCAGAAAGTCACAGCAAACCGTTCAGCTGGAAAGTCTTGCCACAGTGTTCTCCATCAGAGCCAGTGTCTCTTTGCTAAAACCTGAAAGCGAGACAGCCAACAGCTGCTTGTGCTTTGTTTCTGGTGACTTGCAGTGTCAGCACCGTTTCTCACCCACATCCTTAAAGAATGTTCCAGATCAAAGAAAGAGCTCTTCCAAAGAAATTGATTAGTCTGAGGCAAAAAAAAAATGAAATAAAAGGCAAAACAAAAACAAAACTCTAGAAACTTCCCAATATGATTGATACAATCTATTATATAATGTATATTATTATATACATTATAATTATTATATATGTTATAAATACATATGTATTATATTCAAAAAGACTAAGCAAATGCTCTCCCAGTGTTCAGCTTTTTTCTTTTCTTTTCTTTTCTTTTCTTTTCTTCTCTTTTCTTGTGAGAGCCCTCACTCCTAGCTTTGGCAATTTTACCCATAATCATGTCCACCTAGGAGCAATGGCGTGGGCAATGTACCCACTCAGTGAGCAACAACTGGAAAGCCTGGCATGAAGGGAATCTGCCTCGCCTCACGTAGCATCTGCAGAAGATGATGACATGTGGGCTTTCTGGTCTAGATTTTCAATTGTAGATTTTGCAGGATCTACAGATCAGTTATTTCCAAGGAAAGTATAGCATCTATTGAAGCTTTGCAGACAGTACAAGAAAAAGTTAAATGCCTTGTTAACTACTCTTAATATTGATTTGCTGATATGTCAGGTGTTTTAATGCTAAGTAAAACATACTATGAAAATTAGTTTTCCTACTTTCTATTTATCTGTTTTTAAGTATGAGTAGATTCTGTAGGTCTTTTTGCATTTATATATCACGTTGATTTGGGGGGTCACGTGCACATGCCACATTGTGTGTGTATCTGTGAGTATGTGTACATGCTCTTGAGTGCCAGAGAATAACTTGTGGGAGTCAGTTGTCTCTTTTGATCATCTGGGTCCTGGGAATCAAACTCAGTGGTCAGGCTTGGTGACCAGGACCCTTACCCACTGAGTCACCTTGCCAGCTCCGCCTTACTTTTTAAAGCTTATGTCTGCTAGAATGTTTAAGCACCCTATGTGACTTGCATTTAATTTCTGTTGGCACTGCTGTAGAATTCAGACATTTGCAGCCTCCCGTAGGAGATAATGCTGGTGTATTTTGCACTATTCCCAGGGCATTCGCGCTGCTTCCTGCTCCTGCCTCCCTGCCTCCTCTCCACCATTACGGACTCTATCTGTTACTATGAGCCTAAGTAAATTTGTCCTTCTATAAGTTGCCTTGGTCATGGTGTTCTATCCCAACAATAGAAAAGTAGCTAATACAAATGTCTTATCTGTAGTGATTTGTGGTAACAGTCCTAGAAAACTAATTCAAAAGCCTTTTGAGAGCAGCACTGATCACAGAGTGTGGTATTCTCTGGTTGTTCATCACCATGTTAGAGAGTGTATTAGAAAGATATAGAAAATACTTTCCAAATGGAGCCATTTGGGTCCTGTGGCTCTGAAGGGAAGAAATGAAGACTGTAACACACTTTCTTAGCAGGGTCTCACGTCCTGATTGCAGGGGCACTGTGATCAGTTGTGACCTTCCTCAACTTGTCTTTGTCTCCACTGGGGGCTACCATCACGTAAGCTCTTCTTTTTGTTTTTGTATCTAGTTTTAAATTATTTTACTTACTTTGAGTGAGTGAGTGAGTGTGTGTGTGTGTGTGTGTGTGTGTGTGTGTGTGTGTTAGGGTTTTTAATGATGTGAAGAGACACCATGGCCATGGCAGCTCTTATAAAGGAAAAACTTTAGCTGGGGCTAGCTCACAGTTCACAGGCTTTCTCCATTATCATCATGCAGGGTGGCATGAAGGCAGACATTGTGCTGGAGAAGGAGCTGAGAGTTCTACATCTGATTCAAAGCCAGGAGGGAGAGGCTGAGACATATTTCCTCCTACAATACCACACCCACTCCAACAAGTCCACACCTCCTAATAATGCCACTCCCTATAGGCCAAGCATTCAAACACATGAGTCTATGGGGGCCATACCTATTCACACCACCACAGTGTGCATGTAGAAATGTGGACAGTCATGTCACTCTGTATGGAGATCAGAGGACAGCTTGAGGGATACTGTTCTCTCATTCTAATCATGTGGGTCCCTGGGATAGAGCTCAGCTTGGTGGCAGCTGCTTTAACCCAATGAGCCATCTCACTGACCCCTTGAATTGCCTCTTGCCTCTATAAATCCCATTCTTCTTGAGGGCCATCTGCCTCCATCAGAAAGTTGTTCAGGGTACCAAGCCCATTCGACCTAGGTCTACTCTGAATCTCACTACTATTTGATGATTTATTCAGTTCACTAGCCCTGAGCTCTCCCATAAGGCTTAGTGTGTGTCACACACACACACACACACACACACACACACACACACACACAGAGAGAGAGAGAGAGAGAGAGAGAGATTAGAATATATTCAGAAAGTAATGGGGTCACAGATGTTTTCTAGATAAGGGAGAGGATTCTACTCCCACTAAAGAAAAAGAAAAAACAGCAAGCAAATAAAGAAACAACAGCAACACAATCCTTCCAAGACTAAGCTGGAGAACTTGAGAAATTCTAAGCTGTTTCCTTAGCCATTCTCTCTCCCAAGCCTGGCGTTTACAGGCATGCACAAGTTGAATTCTAGTCCAAGTGACTGAGCTGGTTGCAGTGGTAAGTCCCAGGAGTTTCTGACTGAGAAGCCTTGACTGTGCACCAGGTATTCTATGATCCCTTTAGAGTACTCTACTGACCCAGCAGACCAGGTGTTTTCACACCTAAAGCTTAGTAAAGACATTTGTCTGAAATCAAACAATCAAGTCATTCCTGTGCGGGGCTGCACGCCATGCCTGTGCTGGCCTTGCTAAGTGCCCCCAACTATAGGACTCCAGGGCTGCTTTCCTTTGCTGTTTGCAGATGTACCTGCCTCTTAGTCTTTGTCTGGAATGGGGAGAATGCTTTGCCTGCCTCCCTCCCTTCCTCCCTTCTCTCTTTTTCTTCTTCATATCTCCCAGTCTCCTCCCATCCCCATTCTTGTTTCTTCTTTCTTTCACAAAGAATGTAAATTCTTTGGGGATACACTCCAAAGAGAGCAGCTGGCTTCATGGTGACAGAATAACCACCCACTCTACATAACCATTTATGATGCCAGTTTTCTCTTTTGTAACTTAGTTCAAAGGCACTGGTTTCTAATGCAAGTTGTTATTACAAAAATACACACAAGCGCACCCTCAAATCCATGTGCAAAACAAAGCTGCAAATATGAAGTGCTGTAGGAGAGGAAACACAGCTTAACCGCTGTTTTAGTTAGGTTCACGACCAAAAGCAATTTGGGGAGGAGAAGGTTTATTTCTCTTTACAAGTCTCAGGCCACACACCTTGACTGATGGACGTTAGGGCAGGAGCTCAAGGCAGGAACCTGGAGGCAGGAACTGAAGCAGGGGCCATGGAGGGGGCTGCTTGCCACCTTGCCCCTGTTGGCTTGCTCAGCCTGCTTCCTTATAGAACCCGGACCGTGAGCCTAGGGAGGCAGAAGCATCAGGAGTGCATGATGATCATCAGCTGCATAGCAAATTCAATGCCGGATTAAGACTATGGGAGACTATGTTGGAAGGAAGGAAAGGGGGAATGAAAAAAGGGAAGGAGGGAGGGAGGGAGAAGAGGAAAGGGAAGGGAAGGAAAGGGAAGAGAAGGAAAGGAAAGGAAAGAAAAGGGAAGAGAAGGAAAGGAAAGGGAAGGGAAGGAAAGAGAAGGAAAGGGAAGGGAAGGGAGGGGGACGGGAAGGAAAAGGAAGGGAAGACCACTGTTTGTAATGGGACAGCAAAGTGTTTGTGGCATGGTTTGGGAATGCCAGGGGAGGGGATGACCCTGGAAGTAAGCAAAGGCAGGTCACAAATGCCCGTGATGTGGTCCCTAGAATGCTTCTGACAGGCTCTAGGGAGGGTTGCTTGTGACATGGAGACATTACTAACACGCTGGGACAGGGCAAGCATGCTGACAGGGAGGACAACCAGGATACTGTTCAAGTGACTGGGGTAAGCTATACTGTGTGGAGGCAGCCCAGCTATCAGCCCTGGGAAGTCCCCAGTCATAAGATCTGGTCTAAGAGGAGTCCAGTCTTAGGAAATTTACTCAGTTCCTCTAAACTACTTGTCTGTGAGTTCTCCTGTTTGTGAATTAATAATGGCAGCACTTTCCTCTAGATGAGTGGTTCTCAACTGATTTAAAGTGGCTACCCTTTAATACAGTTCCTCATGCAGTGGTAACCTCCAATGATAAAATTATTTTCATTGCTATTTCATAACGATAATTTTGCTACTGTTATGAATCAAAATGCAAACATCTGTGTTTTCTGATGGTCTTAGGCGACCCCTGTGAAAGGGTGGTTTCACCCCTCAGGGTGGTCCTGTCTAGTGGTGAGAGTGGGGTGTTAAAGTCTCCCACTAAAAGTGTGTGAGGTTTTATGTGTGATTTGAGTTTTAGTAATGTTTCTTTTACGAATCTGGGTGCCATTGTATTTGGGGCATAGATGTTCAGAATTGAGACTTCATACTGATGGATTTTTCCTGTGATGAATATGAAATGACCTTCATCTCTCTTGATTGATTTTAGTTTGAAGTCTAATTTGTTAGATATTAGGATAGCTACAGCAGCTTGTTTATTGGGTCCATTTGATTGGAAAATCTTTTCCCAACCCTTTACTCTGAGGTAACATCTGTCTTTGAAGTTGAGGTGTGTTTCTTGTATGCAGCAGAAGGATGGATTCTGTCTTTGTATCCATTCTGTTAGCCTGTGTCTTTTTATAGCTGAGTTAAGACCATTAATGCTGAAGGAAATTAAGCAACATTGATTGTTAATTCTTTTTTTATTTGTTGTTGGTGGCAGTATTGTGTGTGGATTTACCCTACTTTTTCTTTTGACTTTTGGCAAAGTGGGATTATCTATTGCCTATGTTCTTATGAGTGTAGTTGACTTCCTTAGGTTTTACTTTTCCTTCCAGTATTTTCTGTAAGGCTGGATTAGTTGATATGTATGATATGCATTGTTTAAATCTGGTTTTGTCATGGAATATCTTGTTTTCTCCATCTATAGTGAATGAAAACTTTGCTGGGTATAGTAGTCTGGGCTGGCATCCGTGGTCTCTTAGTGTTTGTAGAATATGTATCCATTTGGGCTTTCAGAGTTTCTATGGATAAGTCAGGCATAATTCTGATAGGTTTGCCCTTATATGTTACTTGGCCTTTTTCTTTTGTTGCTTTTAATGTTCTTTCTTTATTCTGTATGTGCTGTGTTTTGATTATTATGTGACATGGGAATTTTTTTGTGGTCCACTCTATTTGGTGTTCTGTAAGCTTCTTGTACTTTTCTTGGCATGTCTTTCTTTAGGTTGGGAAAGTTTTCTTCTATGATTTTGTTGAACATGTTTTCTGCACCTTTGAACTGGGTTTCTTCACTTTCTTCTATACCTATTATTCTTAGGTTTTCATGGTGTCCCATATTTTCTGGATATTTTGTGTTAGGGATTCATTGGACTTGAGATTTTCTTTGGTCGATGAGTCTATTTCTCCTAGTGTATCTTGAACACCTGAGATTCTCTCATCCATCTTTTGTATTCTGTTGGTTATGCTTGCATCTGTAGTTCCTGATCATTTACCAAGCTTTTCTATTTCCAGCATTCCCTCAGTTTGTGTTTTCTTTATTGTCAGTTTTTAGGTCTTGATCTGTTTGAATTGTTTCCTTTATCTGTTTGATTGTTTTTCTCTTGGCTTTCCTTGCTTTCTTTAAGAGAGTTGTTGATTTCTTGTATTTTTTGGTTTGTTTTTTTTTCTTCCAGTGGGTGCAGGTAGGGTCTCTCCCTCTCCTGGTAGACACAGGTCCAAGACTTTCTTCCCATGGGTGCAAACAGGTCCAATACTCCAATGGGTCTCAAGGTGGGTGCAGGTGGGTCTGAGAGACTCCCTCACTTGGTGGGTGGAGGTTAGACTAGCACCAAAATGTCAGGAGATCCCAAAGAGGGCAAGCGGAAGTTGGGCCTGAGACAGGGGCCCACACTCACCTCTCCCCTGAGCGGGGGTAGGACTCGCACATGGATGTCAGCAGACTCTGGATGATTTTGTCTGCCTGGGGCCAGTCGACCTTCCCATAGTCCCCAGGCCAGGATATCCCAAAGAGGGCAAACAGAAGTCAGGCCTGAGACAGGGGCCCAAGCTCACCTCTCCCTCGAGCTGGGGCAGGACTAGCAAA